ATGTAGTACCTATATATGTAATATCAAAGCAATTGCACTTGCGGTTTTTAACAAGAAGTCGAAAATATCAGTTTTTACCAAAAATGACAAAAATATTCACCAAAATTAGAGAATTAAAGATATCATTACAAAATGAACAAATCTGAGAGAGGTCCACATGTAGTACCTATAGATGTAGTATCAAAGCAATTGCACTTGCGGTTTTTAACAAGAAGTCGAAAATATCAGTTTTTACCAAAAATGACAAAAATATTCATCAAAATTAGAGAATTAAAGATATCAACATGAAATGAACAAACCTAAGAGAGGTCTACCCAAGGTACATATACACCAAGTATCAAAGCATTTAGGCTTGTAGTTTTCAAGAAGAAGTCGAAAAAGTAAAACATTGACACGGACGACGATGACGACGACGGACAATCACTCATATGATAAGCTCCGCTCGACAAAGTCGACAGCGGAGCTAAAAAAGTGTACATTCACATGATTGCTTAGGATAACAACAGCTGCCTCTTCGTCACCCAAAACAACAAATATCTTTCTGCTAACTTTGAAGGGTTACTGGGGCCAAGGACTTCACATTAAATGTGATGCCGTGTATGCGGTTGATACACACCGGGATGAAATAGGAATGAATACTGAATTGGAGGATACACAGGTACAGACAGTCTAATAGTCAGTGTTACAGGGGTTTATATTTAGTGGTTATGATGAGATAATATGTACAAATTGTACGATAACACGTGGCAAGGTTTATCAAGAAGAAAGAATCTGGCCACCCTCATCTTCGGGGACCAAACCGGATTTAAAACTCTGGACTACTACTACTAAAGAAGGAAACTACTTACCACCCAGCATGCATTGCCAAGGTCTGCAATTTTTACTACAAGAGGTGGTGGGCTAGACGGATCAGATTTCTTACCTGGAAGGCAACAGAGTCATTGTTAATGGAATGATGTCGTTGTCAATAATTTTTAATATTTGCAATCATACACCACTGAGATTAAGCTTTTCATCACCAGTTACCACTTTTCATTAGTCATGAGGTTATATAACCAAATTTACAAAATAGTTCGGTTTATAGTACTTTACTTCAGAAGATATCTTGAGTAAAAACTAAAAATGGACTCAAATTTTGTTAGTTGGTTCCAAAATTAGGGTTCATTTCCAGAAATATGGAAGAATTTAAGAATAAAGTGCAGAAAAATTTGGACAAGAAAGTCTGGTGGTGAAAAGGTTAAGGTGATTAACTGTTTCATACAATAATAATAATTTTGATCAAAATGATTCACTGCAATTAACCATGGCTTTGGATATAATAAATCAAATTGACTTGAATTGCACTATGACGCTGCAGGGTCGGAAATGTTAAATAAATTTGGGTCTAGGGATTTTTATGACCAAAAGGGTCACCATAAACATTCACAAGCAACCAAACATATAATGTATTGTTAATTTAATAAATTCAATTGAAAATCAATAGTTATATCTGAGAAATAGTAGATTAAACAATATTTATGGAAAAATGGCTGCCAGGAAGCCATATTTGGTCGAATGACACTACAAAATTAGTGCCCATATGATTTTATTTATACTGTTTTTATTTTAAGAACAAACAAATCTATTGTTCATGAGTTACTAATTTATATTTCTAAACAGACTCCTGTGACTTATCAGGATGGAATTTCAGTCAAATTCAAAAACTAGATGAAAATCAAATTAACCGTACATACCTTCTGGAGCGTTAATCTCATCAGTCGCTAACACACCATTGTTTTCTTTATCTTCATCTACAAGCGGAGGTAACACTTTGTGGTCTGTGACATCACCTGTATTCAATTTATCACTCTGTTCATTTAAATTACTGCTTGCTATTAAGTCATCGCGTATACAATAATAACGCTCAATCTCCTCATTTTTCAAACTCAGTTCCCTGTTCTGTTTATTCACATCATTCTCATTTTCCACATTGTTTGTATCTTTCTCTAAATCTCCATTTCTCAGTTTCATCGGAACTTCATTTTCATCTTTACTCGTAGTCTTATCGTTATCCTCTTCATCATCCACATCATCACCACCAACATCTCTGTTGTTGTTGACTACTTCTGTTGAAATAATATCATCAAAAAATTAATAGTCGTATAAAAATTCAATTCTAAACATTCATACAGTATTACAAACTGTTTACTCTGAAATATTGGCTCTATCATAAGTGTATCTCAACAAAAAATTTACACCTTTATCATACGGTCTATGTCGTACTGGGTATCTTTAGTAACACAAAAGCACAAACCAGGTTATACGAAGGAATGCTATGAACATGTACCATGTTTATTGTTTGAGCTAATCATCTGAGCCAATTCATTACATGCTAAACCAATATAATTAACAAAGTCATGCTTTTCTATAAATGGGAGCAATTAAGATTCTATTTTATTTTACATACCAATCACAACAAAGTATAACAGGATGTACAGTTTTTATGCAGTGGCCAATTCACAAGTTTTTATTCTCAAAGAACAGCAGCTTTTGCAGTTCATATGAACATAAGTGAACAATTAATGTATGTGACAGAGATTGGATATCATGTTTGCATTGTTGTAGGTAATCTTTGAATACCCCTAGTCAGTCAGCTAATTGCCTGGCCAGTTTGCACTTTGCTGAATGGTTAGGTTACATGTGAGTGCAAAACGCATACAAAACAAACACATAGATCTTGGAGCTTTTCCCCTTCCAGTCAATGTGAAGAGTATTTCATTTTTTCGACAAATCGTGCAGACCTTGAAAGAAAATGTAATATATTAAATATGTAATAATCATATCAGTCTTTCTATGCTTTAATTTTTTTTTTAAATTTGATATTTCTTAAAAAACGTTCATTGATGAATTACTACAATGACAGAACTAAATAGTATTCAGAGATGTTACGCCACAGTAAAACAAGGACTTGGCTTGTCAATGTAGCTATTTTGTGATACACTTGGAATCAACACTGTGACAAGTACATGTAATTACATAGTCGCTGTGAGTTATCAAGTTTAAGGAATATACAAGTCATTGTTAATGACAAGACCCTGTTCAGTTTTCAGTGACAAATAATTATTTACACTTATGCGACAAGACATGAAACAAAGTGGAGCCAGTTTATTTGTGCGATTCCTTCCTTTATTCTGCCCATGACATTTCTAGCACAAAATGACGATCAACTATCTTGAATCATATTCTGAAACAGATGCATGTCAAATGTGTTACATGATGCACATGTAAATTTTGAACATGATCAGTCCAGCCATGTTAGCGATATGGCTCCAAAAACGGCATTCTTTACAAACAAAATGGCCACCAGTCAGCCATTTTTATGGACGTGCATCAAAAGCCCCCCATTATGTTTAACGGACATACTAAGTTTGAAAGAAATATATCCATATATGACAAAGATCCAGTTTTGGAATGGCAGAAATGCTTGATTTTGTGTGTGAAACAAATGCATGTGCTTATGTATGATGTGTGATGCATGCATAAGGTTTGAATGTGTTCTGTCAAAACATGTCAGAGATATTAACACAGGAACTGCATTTGTTAAAAGAAAATGGCTGTCAGCCGGGCACATTTTTCCCAAACAGAAAAAGACCATTATGTTCCATGGGCATATCAGGTTTGAATGAAATATGTCCATGCACAACCAGCTTCAGTTTTGGAATAGCAGAAATGTTTGATTTTGATAAATTTTTAGCACTAAAATATATGTGCTTATGTATGATGTGATGTATGTGTCAAGTTTAAATGAAATCAACCTGGGCATGTCTGAGACACAGGTGCAGACGGACTCACAGATATGAAATTACAAGTCCTAGTTTTCGAACTACGTCTGAAACAGGGACTAATATTGAAGGTCTAAACACAAGATCCTGTTTTGGGAGTTGGCTTGAACTGGGACTAATAATGGGTACAGGGTTTTTTTTACCTTGAACTCTCTCATTTTGTTGTTGTTCTAACATATTACACAAGGGTGCTTCAAGTTGCTGCTCATTCTCTTCAAGTACTTCACTCTGTTCATCAATATTATCACCATCTACTGCATTAGTACTGTCTCCATGGGGACTATCATCATCAGCATTAATGGTGTTCTCTCTAAGCTGATCATCGCCATCAGATATACCATTATCCACACGACAATCACTGCCACTTATAGCACTATCCAAACCAGGTTCTTCAGTATTCGTTTTCGTATCTTCTTGGCAACCACGATCTTCAGTATTTACACCACTATCTCCTTGGCAACCCTGATCTTCAATATTTACATCACTTACACCTTGGGGACCAATATTTTCAATATTTACACCACTGTCTCCAACTAGGTCTTCAGTGACTATAACACCTCCCTCAGCGAGACAGTGCTCTTCAGTATTTACACCACTTACTTCTTCATCATCATGGCGGCCATTATCCTCTGTGCAGACACCACTCTCCAGATCAGGACCACCATCTTTATTATGTACATCAATTTCCTGATGGGAAGTACTATCTTTGGTGTTGACTCCAACATCTCCCTGGTGGCTATCCTCTCCAGTACATGCACTATCACAGTCACCTTGGCCCTTTTCCAGTGAACCACAACTGCATTTCTCATCAATTTCTTGTAGTTGCTCTTTTTGTTTCTGTATTAGCTCCAATTGTCTCTTTTGCTTCTTTTTTAGTTTCTTCTTTTTATTTTTGGAGATCTTCCCCTGTGGTTTTTTATCAATAGGAGCTGTACTGACTGTAATTAAAGAACAAATACATGTATTATGTTATTATTAAGCCATTCATATTTTCTGTCAGGAATCAGCACAGACATGAATAGAAACAAAATGACTGCCAGTCAGCCATTTTTGGTAAAATCTCAAAAATAAATGATATAAAGTTTGATCTGTCTATCTCTGATTAACAGTTCCGGACACATTTTCAGACTGTAATTTAAAGATTTTAGACAAAATGTTAATTCATCAAATTTGATTGAATCACAGAATATCAAAACTTTAATACTGTACTATCTGTGAGAACAGTATTTTTGTTCATACTTGTATCAGTTTGGAACCAGCAGACATTAATAAAAACAAGTCATCCATTTTTGTTTGAATCTCCCAAAAAAGATTGATGTAACTTTGTCTGAAACAGGAACTAATAACAGGTAAGTACTTGAATATGAGTCATGAATATGTTGATAACTTAATTGGAATTACGTGTTTATCGCAAAAAAACGGTCCTAATGCCAGTAGTTGAGTTGCACATGACACAAGCTAGCAGTTTATACATACCTGATGAATTAGGAGGTGCTATATTATGCTGGATCCAGGAGTTAGCTTCAGCAGCAAGTTTACGGACATGTTCTTCATCAACACACATCAGAATATTTTCTGGTTTGATATCAGTATGTATAATTTTACACTTGCTGTGCAAATAGTCTAAACCCTGTAACACCTGTTAAATGTACAAACATGTGGAGTCAACAAGACAAGCTGGCAAATGTAACAATGTAACATAACAAGAAGAAAAGTGCGTGAACCATTTTATACTTCAGGGCATCTATGGCCAGAACGTATGAAAAGGCTTGAGATTACCGGGGTAAGTGATATTAAAAAGAAAGATGATATCACCAGGTTAAGATTCAATAATTAAACATGCACACAGCAAATGTAATCTCGTTTAGAAGGGGATGATTTCAATTACTGTGTGCAAAAATCACAGTTGTTTTAATAATTGTTAAATTTTTTCGCACTTTTGTTTCAGAAGGGAGTCAAAGGAGGAAAGGTTGAATATTAAACAAAAATATGTTTTAATTATCAATAGTCTTCATTAAAGCCTTGTAACATCATAATACAAAAGATAAACACTGAGATGCTCACCTGTTTAATAATATTTTTTACAGTCAAATGTGGTAAACCCATGTAATTACTTTTTATAATTGGTTTCAACAAATTATTTCCTAACACTTCAAACACCATACACACATCTGTAGTTGTTAGTTAAGAAGTATACTACAAATATAATTCAACTTCAAATTCAATTCAACTATAATTCAAATGTTAAAACCAAACAAATAGCCTTTCATTTTCAGACTGTTGGCAGCAGTAGCGGCTAATACTGACCATTTTAAAGCACTATCTCAAACTTTGGTTTATCCTTATCCTTTCAAGTTAATGTAAAGTAAATTGGGCTGGAAGGATAAGCTTACGGTTATGAAAGAGTTAAAAATACTACTTTTTCAAAAATAATAGAATGATTACACACAACAGTTTTGTATGAACCATTTGATAAACTTGATGTACTGTAAATATTGTAATTTAGAAATCATTTTTGTAACGTTCCAATCAGACTCATCAACACTATTACCGGGTAAATACTACAATGTTTAATCTGAATAGCGTAAATGGGTGAACATCATTTTGACAATGAGCTGTCCTCACGGTTTATACTTGCACAGGATCTAAATTGAATATTTCTTGCATTGTATTTCATAACAAACCAATGAATATATTTTTTTAACACCTCAAACACAAGCAAGTTATTTTTGAGTGACAACTTGACAGGACGAACTGTGGATCAATAAACAATGGTTTGTACGGTTTTATTTGAAACTGATTTTGCTTTTCGTTACCAACATTTTTTTTTTCTTTTCATCATGTGGAAATATTTTTTGTAGATTATAAAATATCAACTTGTTTGTGAAACCTTCTTTGAACCAAATGACAGCCTTTCAATCTCACATACTGCAAAAACTTTTCAAGGTATTCACAGCGGCTATATAATTACATAACATAACTAAATATTACCACTCGTATCTTATTTAAGAATTTTCTCAGAAACTTTGAAGTAAACGGCGTCACTTCACATCAAAGCTTGTAATACATCAGAACTATTATAGCATCTTAAAAGGATACGAACACCATTCACACCAGAAATTTTAAAATCATCAAGAAGTTGGACAACCTTTTCTCTGTAAGGATCACTTTCATCACATTCTCGCACCTAAGGATCAAATAAAAATAAAGAACATATTATATAAGATGAATGAAACTCTTATCGCTTCATCAAAAAAAACACGTGTAATTGTGTAATAAGGCAGCATAACAAACATTCATTATGGAAATTAACCAACAAATGTTATATATGTCAAGCAAATTCATAATTATTTACATTACTGTCATAATATATAGAATTTTTTGAGAAACTAATCCAGCTCAAAGCATTTAATGATGGGAGAGTTGTGTCTTATTTTCTAAAGTCAAAGTGGTAGACAAACTATCTTTGTCAGGTTTCATTAGCATCTATCAGAGAATACCTATGCCAAAAATCACAGTCGTGGAGCAAGGTTGGAGTCGAAGATCAACTCTCTAGACTAACCCCTAATACCGATGTTTTCTTATGCGTGAAAAAACATAAAAAACTGCATCTCAGATTTACTCCAAATGTATTACCCTCTTAAACCATCGCTACAGTTGTTTTTCTAGTTGATTGCATGCTTTATGTATTCAGATACGAGAATGTGGAAAAAAAGAAAATTTTTGGGAAGTGCTTAAGCATTTTATTTTGAGTTAATTACATCATTATATCTGCATATTTTCCAGCTACGCCAATATAAAATTGTGAAGTAATAGATACAGACTCATTTGCTGGAACCTTGAGAGTGTAACTTTAATATACAAGGCTGCTTGCTTTCAAAGCTACAAATGTAGTGTCCTACACAAATTTAGCAAAGTGACATTTATTTATTTGCATGATACTAATTATCCACTTGACCTCCCAAAACTACCCAATATTACTATTGGACTTTTTGAAACTGGTTGCCCAGTAGGTTTCTAAGTCCATAATAATATTATTAATCTAGTGAGCTACTTACACAGCGGAGTAACTTGATCTCATCAACTGCTGTTTCTGTATAGTGTTGGGCACTCTTAACCACTTTCAACGCAACATAGCGCTTGGCACTGAAATGCAGATAGCAAATAAGTTGGTTAATTAGTCTCATCCTGAATTTATTTCATATGATCAGTTATTCAACCAAATGAAAAAAACACTTGTACATACTGATACTTTTTCAAAATGGTTTCTAATGAGCTAGACACCTTGAAGTAAAGGTTGGATTATGTGTGAAAGAAAATTAAAACAATTGCAGATGAAAGCTATTTAAATAAGTCAATCAAATATGCTGTAGTGAATAGTGTAGAGATTTGTGAATCTAGAGTCAAATTGCTCAGAACAGATGCAAATAGAAGCAACATGGCCGACAGTCGACCATAACGAATCAAATCATATAAAATATTTCATGTGTGATGTTCAGAATTAAAGCAGGCATTTGAGGCATGCATAAGAAGCAAGTTATTATTTTGTGATTTAAGTAGAACTGTTGAGTATAACAATGAGTTCAGTAGATGTGAATTAAATCACAATCACCATTAACTTAGATTAGATATGTCTTGAAAATAAACCCAAATGTCAGTGCATATGTGTGACACAAGGCCAGCATTGGACTAAAGTCAGAAGAGATGAATTGATCCACATGTAAATTTTGGTTAAGGTCAAAGAACAAATTTATACGAATGGAAGAGAATTAAACCAGGGTGAACAGTGAAAAACAAGCCATGCATGGCACAGTCCCCGTTAGTTATCAAATTTAAGATATAAAATTTTGTTTATAGTAATATAGCTGGAATATAAACATGTCATTTAAATGATTGACATTTGTATCTGATCGTCAAATGAGTATTGAGAGATATTGCTCTAGAACAGCATTAATTAAAACAAAATCAGCCATTATGAATATATGTATAATGAATATATAAAATTTGAACATAGTCAGTCAAAGCATGTCAAAGATATGGCTCTGGAAGCCCATTCATTAAAACAAAATGGCCACAAGTCAGCCATACAGAATCCGATCTAAAAAATAAAACAATTTTTTTAGCACAAAAATAGCCACCATTAGGCCATTTTGAAAAGGATCGTCAAACCAATATATCCGTATATCTGTGACATGATGTATATATAATGAATATTA